GATCAGCTTTTCAAAATTGCTGCTGCCTGGTGTTTCAGTTGGTGCTGTTCTCTTGCCCTGCAGTGTGGTACTGGGCCTGCTAAATCAGCAGCTGTTCACAAAAACAGACCATCTGGAAATCTCACTAGCTTGTTAGTGCACTTGTGACTTCCTTCTCTTTGGCCTCATCAGGAACCCAGGATCGCATCAGACTGTACAGGTGTGACAACACTGAGGCACTGTTCCAGCCAAGATGACTGTCTTGCTTTGGGTTCAGCGTGCAGAGGCTGTGCCTGCTAAATGCAGACAGTGTGGACCAATAGAACAGGAAATGGTGTTGAAGATCCAGCTTGCAAACTCTACAGGTTTTGAAAGGGTTTGAATTCTCTTCAGCCTAGTTCTAGGGTGATCTCATGAACTGAATACCTGCTAGTGGTTGGAGCATGAATTATGTTCCAGGGGCACATCTTCATTTATAAGTAATCCAGCGTGTGTGCTCTGGGACTGATGTGGACTGAAGCACAGCTAGTGTGTGATCACGTCAAATGAACTGCTGGATCTGACCTGAAATATTAATGCAGATGTGCACCAAAGGCAGGAGCTGGAGTCAGGGACCTGTCTCTGGAAAGTAGTACAAGTTGTTCTGATGATCTTAAAAAGTACAAAATGGAGATGGGGTGGGGTAGAAATATGAGATCAGTCTTTCCTGTTCCATCTGTGCATCATTGCATCCTAGTGATTGAAGTAAAATACATTTCACAAATGAAGGAACTTTTCTAATAACTTCACTGTTATGTATTTTAGTTCACATATGGATGATGCTTTTGTTGTTTCACTACCCCAAACAAATTTTGACTTGTGTTGGATTAAAAGATTAATTAACAACTCATGCACTGTTATGTACAGCAAGCTATGGAGGATGGAGGAACAGAGCAAACAGATGATCTGGAGCTCAGCCAGGGAACATGTCCTACTGGCTCTCCTTGTGGGACTACAGCAGAGCCCTAAGTTGACACCATGGGGAGAAGTAAAATATTTGAGTATGTAGCTTTTTACAAACAAAGTGTTTCCTGCCAAATACAGATTATATACGTGCCTAAACTACTAAGAACGTGATGTGCATGTACCTCAAAAATAACCATGCTTCCAAAATGAGAATGTGTGTTTAGAGGAAAAAAAAAGTTCCTCCTTTTAGAAGTTGAAGTATCAGAGTACCTGCAACCATTTAACAATAAAGGTTGAACTGCTACTGGACAACTGCAGTAGCATTGCTGAGGAAAAATACCTTGCATTTGTAGAAAGCCTGATGCTAAACTACTTCGAGGTGGTTTGTTTAGATGTTGCGTTGATGCAAGAGAGAAGTGGACAGTCACCATATATGACAGTCAGTCACCATGACTGACTGCTCAGCCTGAGGATTCAGAGCAGATCACTGGAGGATGCAGTGTTAGGATATGAGATTCTTGATCCTCTTAGAATATGAGATTCTTGATCCTCTGCTCAAGCACCTCTGTAAACATTCCCTTCTGCTTTTGGCTAAAGATGGGATGAAGACAGAATTGATCACTACCAGCTGTTTTTATATTTCTGTCAAACTTTTCCTAGCAGTAGCCATTGCAGCCAAACAATACTGAATACTGTGGTAGTAGGTACAGTAGGCATTACAGAAACCTGTGGTGGATAGGAAGAGTATGTGCCTAGAGGACTGTACGTTTAGTTCTTCTTCACAGTATAAAGTGAGATAATATTCCCCAGTTGTTGCCCTGCTGATTGAAGCAAAATATGCTTTTCTTCAGGGTATTGCACCACTGTATCTTCAGAGAGCTTATCTTTAAGTGTCCAGAAAACTGTATTTCAAGCAGTAATCTTCTATCGACTACCCCTGTGCGTCTCTAGCTGTAACCACAGAGCACTGTCTGTGTTTCTCATTCCCACTGCTGGCTATTGTTTTATTGCCAAAGCCTCTCTGAAGATTGTATGTCCTGAGATGTCCCTTCAGAATACTGATAACTTGGGGTTCATATGCAGAGAGCATATGCAGTACAAACAAGAATTACACAGTATGTGCTTTGCATTGTCGGGATGTATGATTTGGGATTTAGCCAAGCTAGGCTTATGATAGCCATGTGTGCATTAGCAACAGATGCACATAAGATGCTTTCTAAGGACAGCAAACAATGGCAGATAAAGCTTGTATTGTTTTATTTCAGTACATGTCAAATCATTGCTGCCCTGAGAAGCTGGAACCTGGAAGAGATGAGAGATGGGATGACTTGTGCCAGGTGACTGGCCAACATGTTACATGCTAGGGTGCTAAGAGCCCAACTGTGCTAGAAAATCAAGTAAAGTGGGAAAGGGCACGATCAGAAAAACAGTATAAAACTGGTTCAATAAATTTTACTGCCATCGACTTTCATGGCATTGTGGCAAGATGCAAAGGGATGCGTTTCTTACTACACTTTATATTATGACTAGCTTCTCTAAGAGTCCACAGATGTGAGCTGAATTTCACCTGGATTTCTTTTCATTTGAATTTTACTACTTTCATATGGAAAGAGGTTGATTTAGCATAGTAATTTTCTTTGGAGTTTTTGTTGGGTTTTTTTTCGTTTTGTTTTGTGTGTTTTTAAAGAAAGACTAAGTGTCATACAAAAGGAAACTTAAATGGCTGTTCATCCATCTTGGATTTTTTTAAAGTAAATACAAATAATACAAAGGCAACATCCTTTATCCAGTGACTGTTTTTTCCCTCTACTATTCTATGGTCCATCAACTTCAAAATCAGCTAATATTAAAAGAAAAGAGTAGTAGTACTTGCTTTAAGGTAGAATTTATTCTCATCTTGTGGTAACTATATAGGCACAGAAGAAAGGACTTTAAACTTTGTGAAGACATCATTTCAGTAGCTTTTTTTTTTCCCTTGAGGCAGAGGTCATGCTTCCTGTCTTGTGTATGGCCATAGCCAAAGGCCCCGATTTTTTCAAAGGTTTCTGTGTTATTGGATTGTACTGTTTATATTCTGGCTTGTTAGCCAGAAAGTTGTCTTGGATTTCTTTTCTATGACCAATGTAATGAAACAAAAGTAGTGGGAAACTTTTGCACAAGCTGATGTAAGTGTTAATGACAGGTAAGTGTTCATTTCATGCTGGTGTGTACCATCTATTCACTGAGATGGTCCCAGAAGAGGGGATGGGCCAACTGGTTTACTTTGATAGTAGTGCTGGCTTTGAGTTGTGTTATGTCATTCCTTATATCTATTTTTGCGTTTTTAATGAATGACAGTAAGGCTAGTACTATATGTAATGTAGGAGGAAAGTGATGAATCTGATTTGTTTTAAATTTTTTTTTCATTCCTCTCTGTCAGGCAATAGCCTGTTGTAGTAGGAGGGAGAAGAATCCGCTTTGAGAATGTCATTCATGCTGTTGGATTATTGTTCATACTTTAGGATTGGGTCGTAGTCAGGTTTTTCTTTTGCTTTTAGCAAAGGCTGGACTTTTCTAAGGCTCCTTGATGTGTAGATTGGAGAAATTCATGTGTACATTTTTATCTAGTCTGTCCTTGTCTGCAGAATTAAAAAACTTTGAGTACTGTCTTTGTCTACTACTTGTTCAATGTCAGTTTTGCTTGGGAAACTCTATGAAAGTGGTTGCAGACTACATGAAGTAATGTGTTAGAAATATTGGTAGCATGATAATTGGTATGTTTTGAGTGGCCCAAAATAGATTTATATATATAAAATAATCACAGGTCTAAAGCTACGGTTGTGAACAGTCATCCATTAAAAATGTTAATATCAACTTCTGGAAATAAGGTTATAGTAATTTCCTTCTAAATTATTGCTGGTTTGGGACTATTTCAAAGAAACAAAAGGGATATGAACAGGAAAAAGGAAAAGGATGAAGAACCTAATAATTCTGCAAATAAGGAGCTGTAGATGTAAAGGTCTATATTGCTGCTTTTCAAGCCACAGCAATATTCAGGAGTTAGTAGGAAGCAGTAGCCAAAGTGCTCAACCTGGGTTCAGAGTTCTTTGAGGAAATGCAGCAGTGTGCTTTGCATTGACCTACAGCACCAGGGAGGGGAATGAAGAAATAGTAACACTTCAGCATTTTTTTTCTGCCAAAAGGCTTTAGGAAACTGTAACTGTTGCTGTGCAAACACACTGGAATAAGGGAGACTTTGTACTTGCTTCTTGATATGACCCATCTGTTCAGCATCAGCCAAGGGATTACTGGCATCACAACCCAAGCTCTGCTTCTAAGGCGAAAATGGCATTACAAGCAGACTGTGCTGACTGTCATATCTAAAACACAGCATATGTGATTTAACATATGATAGGTCTAACCTAAGTTAGTGTAAACCATATCCCAAGACAAGTCCTTAGACTGTCTTATGTCCCACTAAGAGACTTTACATTATTTTCAAATTTTTACTGCTAACTAATTAGTCGGTAGCCACTTTATTTCTAGAACGAGGTTTTGGCACTGGAGATGCCTGAATCTGAATTGGCCAGGTATGTAGTTTGTCAGAATTGAGTGTAAAATTTTTTGTTGCAAGGTGCTGCAACCTAGGATTAAATTCAAGTTGGTTTTATTACTGTTGACTGCTTTTTCTGTCATAGCACGTGTAACTGTGTGCTTACATAAATGGTGTATATGATATGTAAAACACACCTCATCGTGGGTAATAAGATTGAGTTTTGTTCAAATATCTCTTTTGACTTTCTGGCAGACTACTTCGTATTGCTGCAGAAGCAGGAAATGCCCTGTGGGTTTCTCATAGAAGACTCTAGAAGCACATTTTGTTGTTCATTCACATGTTGATTCAGAAATAATGTACATAATTGCACTTTTTATCTCTTCTGGAATGCAAAGATTTTCTTAATTGTGTTTTCTTGCTGTACTGCAAAACATTTATTTTGCTATAGTCTTCTACCTTTTTAAAAAGAAAAATGCAAGCAGAATTTGTACAACTGAAAGCTGAACATGGTAACTAATTCTTGGCATTGTCTCTTTCCCAGGGAGTGCTGTCCAATATCTCCTCCATCACCGACCTGGGAGGCTTTGATCCTGTTTGGCTCTTCCTAGTGGTGGGAGGAGTAATGTTCATTTTGGGATTTGCAGGATGCATTGGAGCTTTACGAGAAAATACTTTTCTCCTCAAATTTGTAAGTAGCCTTTGCAGCTCTGGCATTCATCAGTTACACAGTGTGTCATGTTATCTGTTCTGCTTAACTGTGTGAAGCTTTTAAAATGTATTTTGGGGAGGAAGGTGTTATCCTGTGTGAGAGTACCACAAAAGCACTTAACTTTTAACACTTTACAGCTCTTCAGTCTCTAGTGCTTACTAGTTGTGTTTTCTTAAGGTTCAAAACAATTGGCGGTAAGAATCATAACATGGAATTACTGCTTTTCGTATGGATATAGCCTAACGTTTTGCTTTCCTATCACAAAAAGAGAGAAATTTCTGCAGAGAATCTGTGTGTTTAACTTGGAGGCCATAATAAACTGCCTGTGAAATACAAGGGATGTACATACACCCCTGAATGTGACCATGCGGCTTCTGCTGTGCAAGTGCTCCCCATGGTACAGAGGAGATAGGACTGTTATGAGGGGTTGCTTGCTGATATCCTCAGTCTGTGCTGTTTAGCTAATTTGGAAAGGCTTCAATGCTTACTTTTCAGTGCTGGGACCTGAGAAGGAGGAAGGGAGGAGAATGTGCCCAGGATGTGTAAAGAAAATGCAACTTGTCTTCTTGAACTCTGGGCTGGACTGTTGGTTAGGAAAGGAGTTGCTGATATGCAGTCATACCTCAGTGTGCAGAACTCCTTTAGCTAAGTAGCTTGGTTCTGTTTTTTTGAAAGCCTTCCTCCTGTGAGCTTTGAAGATGAGGATGACAGTTCCATTTTAGATAAATTGAAGATTTATAATAAAAATGTAAGATTCTTTCCTCCACCACTCCCACTTCCAGAGGTGGGCACAGCCTGGGTAATAGCTGTGTCTCCATAACCATTAGCGGTTAATATATACATGAAAAGGCTTTCAGGGAAATAACTGCCTCCGAGTGACACATTTGGCTCCCACAGACATGTTGTATATGGGGAGGAGGCAACTGAGAGTTACAGTTCTTGAGGCATTTATAAAGCAGCTTGTAACACTTTTTTTTCTCTTCTTCCTTGCTTCTCTTAGCTTGCCTAAAATGAACCCATCTGCTGTACCAGAAATAGCTCCCCATACAGCAGCTGCAGGAGAAATTAAAAATGCATCTGAACACACACAGAGAGCATATTAAAATGAAATTCAAAGGCCCAGTTGCAAAAGGGATGGAGTTCCAGTATACCAGGCCCCCCTGTGTGTTCTAAAACAGTGTAGACTCAGTGGAAATGCTTAGAGAAAGTGGCAGATCATTAGTAATGCCTTTGGCATCCATTGCATTTGCATTAATCATAGCAGCCTCATTTGGTTTTAATGTGGATGTGAGTCATTTCATAGACATTCCGCTCTGACTTAGTCATTAATTAAGTTCTGCTGTTACCAATTTTTGCTTTGTCTACTTAGGCGAAGCTTTGCCAGTGAGAGTAGCTAAAGAAGAAGTCACGTAGAAAACATTTTACTGGCACTACTGGTTGTTTATGCCTTTGAAAATATAAGTGCCTATGCGGAAATTAAGATGGGTTTTCAAGGGCCTTACATGTGGTACTAGCCATTTCTTGAAACTTACAGTGAATTCTTTTGGATCTCTTTGAAAATCCTAGTGAAATGGCCAAGGTTTGAATTTGTTGGCATTTTTATTATTTGTTCGACTAGAATTAAGATTTCTGTACTACAGCCCTAATAAGAAATGGTATATTTTTAATTTAAAATTTCCTGTGTGTTAGAATGGCTTGAACTTGCACTGAAACAAATAAAGCCTTATCACTGGATATAATTATGAGCCTTGAAATAGTTTTTGATCATAAAGGAAAATAATTTTAACCTTTTTTATTTTCTTCATAGTTTTCTGTATTTCTTGGAATTATTTTCTTCTTGGAGCTGACTGCTGGTGTTCTAGCATTTGTTTTCAAAGACTGGATAAAGGACCAGCTGTATTTCTTTATAAACAACAACATCAGAGCATACCGAGATGACATTGATTTGCAAAACCTCATAGACTTCACGCAGGAATATGTAAGTTGGCCTATGTTTATTTTTTGTAAAGCTTACTTTAAAGAAATATTTTAGCATATAATACTTTTGAATGTGTATATGTATGTATATTTGTCTGTACAGAACTTCTACAAACAGTACCTGTGAAAAGTGGTTTATTTGTTGATGTATGACTGAGTAAAACAAGGTGGAGAGTTGGGGTGACTTATGCTGGAAGACTTAGTGTGTCAAATGCATTAAGTTGAAATATTTTATTGTAGGAGATGTCACATCTGTTTAAAAAATTATTCATTTTCTAAGCTTAATTGGGTTCTAAGATGAACGTTGGTGTAGTTTTAGCAGCGTTAGAGTTGCTACACCACGCTGTAGAGTGGTAGAGATATTTGGTTGGTCCAAATGAAACTACAGTGTTGTTTCTGCTGAAGTAGACTTAGTGGAATTGGGCCATTCATAGAGTTCTTGTGACTCTAAACTCTGTGACTCTTGTTCTCTAAGTGACACTACATCTGCACTTAGGAGGGAGTGGTGAAGCCAGAGATGTACCCACCTGTGAGGGTTAAGCTCTGTAACTTAACAGTGTGTGTAAAGGAAAATTGCACTGAGTTTTGCACACAGGTTATTCTATCAGTACCTTCTTGCTCCAGTACTCAGTTCTGGCCTGTGTTGATGAACTTTCTTTGAATTTGGCCCTGTGTGGGTAAGATGGTTAAGTGTTGTTTGAATTCATGTTTACTAATTTTTGTACATTCTACAATTAAGATAGTTTCAACATTTGATTTGCCTCTATGTGCCTGGGGGGAAAATGGCAAGTAACAGGATGTGGATCCTTGCACTGGTTTGAATCTTGTCCAGTTGGGAGAAGGTCAGAGGTCACTACATCTGAAAGCAGTGATCCATTTGTATGCAACCAAAAGCCTACAGTCCAACTTTGCAGTCACTGTATAAAGCTTTCTCTCCTTATTGGATTAGCACTCTTAGCAGATAAACCAGAGACAGCACAAGTCTGAAGAGCAAGCTACTTTTTCAACCAGTAAAGATAGTGCTTGAAGACATATTCAGGTATTGCAAAGAGAACTGTGCTACATCTAGAAAGAGAGAATTGCTATTCCAATGCTTTTAAAAATGTGGTTTGTTTGTGGGGTTTTACATTTTAAAACTTTTTTTAAGTTGACACAGATGGGTTCATTGGGCTAGCTTCTTAAATGCTGTAACCATCAGTGCTCCACTGATCTCCAGTCCATTCTTTGCAGTTCAGCAAAGCACACCAATTCTTTGTGTGTTCAACATGTTTTGCCAGAGACTAAGCCTGCCTTTTGGCAAATATACTCTTTAAAGAAGTCAGTAAAGATGTTATTTGTGCAGTGTGTGATGCTCAAGAAACAGCATGTTCATACAGTCTGATGCACAGACAGGCAAAGTTCTCCCAAACTGGCTAAAGTACCAGTGTAGCCCTCAGAGCTGATTAGTTTTGTTGAGAATCCAGGACACAATTAGACTGGACAGAATGTTACACTCTTGGCTCTACTGTCCCTTGGGCTGAGCTTGTAGGCTTGTGCAATTCTGTGGTGGTGTTTGGGCTTATCAGGTTTCTCTCCAGGGAGCAGCATAGCAGGGTGTGAACGTAACTTTAATCACATAATAACTTTAGAACAATTTACAGGTTTGGAATGGTCTTTAAAGAAACAACAACAAAAACAAACAAACAAAACCAATAAAACAAACAAAAAAACCAACAAATAAAAAAACCCAAACAAAACCAACAACAACAAAAAACCCAAACAAACCCCCCCCCCAAAAAAAAAAACAAAACCAAAAACCAACCAACCAAAAGAAGCCAGTGGGAGCATCAGATTTTGTTTTGAAAGCTAGAGGGAAACTGGCAGCAGTGATGCGTGTTACTAATGCTGAGATTTTTGTTCTGAAAGTTAAGAAGCTCTCCTTTCTTTGTTCTAGTGGCAGTGCTGTGGGGCTTTTGGAGCTGATGACTGGAACCTTAATATTTACTTCAATTGCACAGATTCCAATGCAAGTCGAGAGCGCTGTGGTGTGCCATTCTCTTGCTGTACTAAAGACCCTGCTGTAAGTGACAGTCAAGAGGGTAGGATGGGGCTGCCGTTCCAATTGTAAATCACTCTTCAAGATTTTTTTTTTTTTTTGGTCTGGAAATCATGCATAATCATTACCTTCTCACCCACCTGTATTCTTTCTGTTCTTCAAGCTCAGCTTACCACTAACTTTTCTGCAGACAGCAAAAATCCTAAGCTAACTTAAGTCTTCATTGTTTGTTTTCTGTTGCTTTTCATTAGAATGAGAGAACCATGGGCTTGGCTGAATGTAAATATTAATTTTAGCAAGTATAAAAAGCAGAAGCTCTTAATGAGTTGAAGGATATGAGCTTTCAATTGAAAATCATCAGAACAGCACCTCTTAAGATCAGACACACTGAAGGAGATATTATTCATTATTTAATGCAGCGTCCTGAGGCTGCAGCCAGTTTGACCCAGTTTGTTCCAGGTACAGTAATGAATGTCGGTCTGTGCCCGGAAGAACTGACATGTTTGCATTAGAATCTGGAGTTGGGTATAGACACCTTTACACACTCTTTTTCTCCCCTGTAAAATTACTGCCTGTCCTACGGTCACCTGAAATCAGACTTGAGAAGTCAGAAATTGTTTGAGGGAGCAGCTTTTTGGTAAATTTTCATGTCTTTTAAAATAGTTATAGTTCTGGATCAAGCAGAAAATGTTGGAGCCATGTATTGCTAATATGGACATGATCAAGAGTGAAGAGTAAAGTGTAGGAAAGCATTCACTAACAGTGAAAGACTTGGAACAGGGATGGCTGTGTACATAGAGAGTGTTATGCGCCTAACAGTGTATACATTTGACTTTCATATGGCTTGAAAGAAGCTGGCTTTGAGTGTTTGCATTATCTAGCAATTCAGCTGTGGCTTTTTCTCCACCTGGAATGACTTAGAGTTCCTTGAATGTATGAGTCTAGCACTGACTGAAGTTAGGCAAGTTTCCAACAGGCACCTCAGGTGCTTCCTGCCTTGCTAATGCAATGCAGTCACTGCTCCCAGCATCCAGTCACTGCTGCTGCACTCCTCTTCTCCTGATAAGGCACTGCCACTTGCATAAGCTGGTTCTGGTTCCTCTGCAGTGAATGTGTCTTTGCAGTAGTTTGAATCTTTCTCACAAACATAGCTGAAAATGTTTCAATGGGATATTAAAACAAAATGTAGATTAGGCTCAAGCATTACATTATGCTTTGGATTCCCTCTACTGTTTGCCTGTCTCCCCACCCATCCACACAGAGGTCATCACAACCCAGTTTTAAAAATATGGTTGTTATAAAACCAAACCAGTGACAGCAGTACAAGGTAATCCTATAAATCCTATAGTTCTCTCTCTCTTTGTTGTGTATATGGCTATGCAGTTTCTTAGAGTGTGATGGAGCAACCAGAAATTTAAAGATTAATCTCATTCATTGTAAGGAAGCAACACACTTAATTGCCTTTAAAATAAAGACTAAAAATATTAGAAGTCATGTATATAATGGATATAATTGTAAACAAGCTGTGACTGGTTCAATTGCAGTGATTAAATGTAGGTTTATTCTGCGGAAAAGCAAAGTTGTCCTTTCTGGAATTAGGATTCAGCGTTGGACTGATGCAAAGAGTTATGTGGATGCTTTATTGAACAGAACTTGCTTTTAGTTTAGCTTGAATCAGGAAGTGGTAAGTTTAAGGTAGACTAAAATAAGTATCTTAAAACAAATTTTGACTCCTGTAGTTCACTTTGCTATAGTTTAGCAGGTTCCTTTACAGACAAGTGTAGTCAAGTTTGTTTATTTCAATTGCATTCTTCATACCTTCTTTCCGTTAACAAATTCCAAGGCAGAAGACATTAATGATGAAGCATACAGTACAAGGAAGAAAACTTAAAATCCCTCTGTCAGAATCTTAGGTACTTTTACAGCCCTGAAGAACTTGGCACTTATATCCCGGCATTGAAAGATACAAGTTGCTCAAATCTTAAAGGTTCATTAAGGGAATCCAGTTTGGGCAACTGACAGAATGCAATCTGTTGTACTTCCTGCAGAGTGAGGAAACAGAGGAGCTTTAGTGCTGATAGGAGATATTTTTTTCCATATGGCTGCTTTTTAAAATCCATTTCTCCACTGCCTACCTTTCTCACTTCCCACAATTTGATTACGTTGTGGTGTTTTGTACACCTAGCTAAGATTGGCTGATTTTCTCACTTTCTTGAGTAGTTCCTTCTTCTGCTCATTGTTATTATATGATAAGCCAGTAACTTAATATTTTGCTCCCTTTGTGGATGACACCGAAAGTACTTGTTTCATTTTGTTGCCATGAAATAATTGTATACAAAGTAATAATGCATCTTCAGCTGTCAGTGGATAGCACTTGTTCACTAGGGAAAGTCTTCCAGAGGCTATTTTATTACCTGTGCTTTGGGAGCACTAAAGGAAAGGAAGTAGGGGAAAAAAACCCCCCTCCTTTCCCATTGGTATTAAACTCCTGTAAGAATGAACAGACAGTAAGAACACGTTCTGTTCTTTTTTCTTTCTGGTTTTTGGAAAGGAACTAGATACTGTATATATTTCTAGGGACATTCCCAGAAAGAACTTGTAATTTCTGCAACAGAACTGCCCCTTGTCACCTCTTCATTCTGCACAGATTGAACCCTGAAAATGTTAACAGTATTCTTGGCATATATTTTTTAGTATAGACAAAACCTTTTCAGCAGAAGGTTCTTCCATTTAAAATAGATGTTCCCTATTCCCTTTGCTTTGACTTCTGAATGCTTGTATCTGGAACATGAAGTTCACCCAGGTGGAGGGCTGGTCTTCCCAGCTTGCTGACTAAATCATGAAAAAGTTTTTTGACCATGTGCTTTTGTTTGTTGCAAATAATTAATAGCACTGAGTGGAAGAGGAAGGCTTTATTTTAAAGCAATATGCTAATCAAAGTTAAGGTGATTGTCTTATTTACATACAGGACCAACTCTGGGGAGCCTGGGAGAGGTGTTTGGGAGACATTTCACTAATTGTCTCTCTCTCTCTCTCTCTCTCTCTCTCTCCCCCCCCCCCCCCCCAGGAAGATGTTATTAATACTCAGTGTGGCTACGATGCAAGGCAAAAACCAGTAAGCTTTTTTTTTCTTTCTTCTTAATGTGGTATGTTAAGGATCTGAATCCCTGTTGCAAGAGCAGATTATTCTACTGATGGGATAGTTGAATATAATTATCTCTGTTTTCTTCCCTCTTCTCCTTGGCAGGAAGTTGATCAGCAGATTGTTATCTACACTAAAGGCTGTGTCCCTCAGTTTGAGAAATGGTTGCAGGACAACCTTACCATAGTTGCTGGTATATTCATTGGGATAGCATTGCTGCAGGTAAACGTCACGCTCCCTGTAATGAGTCACGCAAAGGAATAACGAATAAAGTGAATATATGAGGGGGGAAACTGTATATGAGAACTGGAAATACAGTGTCAGGTACCCATAGAAATATAATGTGCTGGGTTTAGTGAGGGGAACTAAATGTATGAGGCTTTCTTTGTGTTAAGGACTATTTAAATTTCTATCTATTGGGATGCATTTTTTTCTTTTCAACTCTCTGTAGGTCAAAACAAACACTCTCTTAGATAAAGCTTAGGTAGAGGTTTTTAGTCCCTACAGACTTACTGTTTCTGATGGTGTTTAAATGAGCAGCAGAAAGCCTTTAGAATTGCTTTTGTTGAAGCAAGACTAGAACTGTTCAGTTTCCTGAAAGCCAGCGGCACTATAAAAATACTGGCATTACAGGAGTTTTGCAATATTATTCCTTCTTGCAATTTACTGTTAATTTGATTTCTAACTGTCTGCTGCTTGTTTTCATACCTAAGTTCTATATAACCTAAGGAACTGAACTTTGTGAAGTTACCTTATGCTCTAAATGAATAAACTGTTGTCTCTTCCAGATATTTGGGATATGCTTAGCCCAGAATTTGGTTAGTGACATTGAGGCTGTCAGAGCCAGCTGGTAAAACTGCTGAAGTAACCACAACAAGACACTGGACAACCGAAACCCTCTGAAACCTCCAGTGTGTCACTCCGACACCAAGCTGTATGGACATGGGTGACAGGGAAGCCTTCTCTCCAGAGCAGTCTCAAGTCTAAGTTCCTGATATTGCAGTGAACTTGTGTTTCTTTGGGGTGGGGGAGAGAAGAGTGGGCTATTGAAAATCTGCTGCTCACTGACAATTTTTTTTCTTTTAAACCACCACTTTGAAAGCTGTTGAGCCGTGAATCTCTACTGTATTCTTGATTTTGAGTAACAAGTGGACACTTTTTTAAATTGGTGTATTCAGTGAGACAGAGTTGCATCGTTGTAGTCTGTGGATATGCTGTTTATTCTTCATGTCATGAGCTCTTTGGTAGCTGCCAAATATTCCTGAGATAGTCTGTCTCATCACCACTCCATAAAGGAGCAATCTTCTTGTTTTCACAGCTAAACGTAGCTACAGGCATAAACCCATGAAGCAGGAAGCAACTTTCTATGCATCTATTGTACAGTAAAAGAAATTGTTTTTAAAACAAGGGAAATTTTTTTTTATGTAAGCTTCCAACCATCTCCCTGTAGTACCTTGAGGTTGGAATCAGCAAGCTCACAGGGAGAATTGCCTAATTTTATCAAGATCTTTCTTCCTTCTCCACCCTTGTATGATGGGAAAGGAGTTTTATATTTGACAAACAAGGGTTGTAGAGCCTTTGGTTGCTGCCATACCTTTGGACATCAGTCTTTTAAGGCAAGGATGGGATATAACTGTATAAATGTATGAAAGCAGTGTGGATGTTGGGTCCAAGTGAAGAATAATATTCAAAGAATGATTTATATATTAACTTAAAAAAAATCAAAACATATGTATCTGATATGGCAAAATCTTCTGTTTCTCTGAAATTTAGTGTAACCTAATGTTTTTAGGGATCTTGCTGATATTAATGCTTTGAAATACTCCTGCAAAAATTCCTTTTTTTGTCTGTTCCTAGCTGAGGCTTTGGTCTTTCTTTTTTTCTTTTTCTTTTCACTTGCATGAGCTGTGGAGTAAGCATCTGTGACACTCCAGTGCTTTAAATTCGTGCATATGTTTTAATACAGTCTAATCCAATCTTATTTATTGGTAAACGCATGTGATTATGGAAAGATCATATCCCATTCTCTTGGAAGTTGGAGAGAACAGTTTTTGCCAGAGTAAATGCATACCTCCAGTGAACAAATCCTTGCTATGGAGATGTCTCCCTTTCTTGCTCTAAAGGCAACAAAAAGCTTTCTTGATGCAATGGAATAAAAGTTTTAAAATAGAAGTGTTTATTAGGATCAGCCAAGACAGACTCTTTTGAATTGGACAAAAGAGAGTAGAATTTGGAATAAAGCACAACTAGTGGAAGAAGGCTTACATCAGGTTCCATCCAGCTTAGGCTTTTTGATTTGTCCTTCTTCACTAACAGTAGTGAACTTACAGACCTGACCATGGCTTGGGTAGTTTTATTGCACTTTGTATAAATTTAGCTTGTTTTATGACCTTTCTCACTATCTGCAGAACTAGTCCTGAAAGCTGTAGGTTCTCAGCTCCTGCTTTGGTCAGACAGTGACAAAGGGTGTGCAGCACCTCTTTGTAAGAACTTAACATGTTTCTAAGTTGAGTTTCCTAAAACATGAGGTATGTGGAGTAGAAGAGATGAATGCATTGCTTTCAAAGCTTTTCTGTTCTGGGGGATGGATAGAAGGCTGATCTGATGACCTGTTAAGGCCCTTTCTGGTCCTGTGACTCTTAAACAAATGAGTATATATACCCTTGCACGTTTTGCCTTTCTGTGCTTTAGCTGGCCATGTTTTTTTTCCCCTCTGAAGGCTGGTGATAGGCACACCAGCACTTCACAGATGCCTCAGACAGACCTGTTGTCCTCCTGTCTTTGAGCATTACCTCATCCTCTTCTGGTTAACTCCCACTGACTGGCTCTGAATCAGGCAGCCTCCATATCCCTTGCTATCTGCTGTTAAAGGCCAGCCATGACTCAGAGTATTTTTTTAAAGCCTTTGAAAGCAATTATAATTCACTGTCCTTAATAAAATTGGTTCCACCTCACCACAGTGTTATGTTTTTCTTAGCCACTCCTCAACTTGAGGAGTTACTGATGTTTGTTTTGCCCCAAAAGGGACACACCATTTTGCCTGATAGCGGCAGGACAGGTATTGCTGCACTGAAACAAAATGATGCAGGGAGGAATCAGGGAAGCAGGGTTGAGGAAGTAACCCTTCCACCAAAGAGCCTTGATTGTGACCCAGGGCTTTGGTTTGGAGGAAAAAAAAGCCCAATTACAGAAACATTCCTTGTTGCCACTGATCTTGAATACTGCTGTTGCTGCTCTGGGCTTCTGAAGACAGCTTCGTTCTTCTACTTGAATTTCTGCAGTTGTACTGTATTGGCCTTTTGTCTTGTCACGCTGTTCTCTCAGTTCCAGTCTGCTGAATGTGCTGTTGGCAGTGTCAGACTGATAGGAGGGTAGATCCTCTGAGGTGAGCAAATCTTGTTCTCACTACTTGCATGTGTACACACAGATGTGCAACACTTCTGCTGAATCCCGGAATGACTGACTGTTCTTACAAAAACCACTAAATAACTTATTTTTCTAGAGCTTGTCTTTATTGCTGCAAATGTTGATCTTCCTCCCTCCCCCACTCCCAAGAGATACTTATTTTCCTTGTGTTCAAAGTTGTTTGATGTATGTGTACTGAATGTTCAGGATTAGCTGTCTATATTGCATATTTAAATCCCACATTTTCTTGTCTAAAGATCAGGTAAGATGTCCTAATAATGCCCCATCAGCAGCTGGGCTACTCAGCAGCTTAAGTGTCCAGTTTGGATAGCTTGTGGGGAGGCCTTGGAAATCAATGTATTATTGTTAGAGCCTGCTGAATACAAGCAAGCTTTCTTCCAGAAAACGGAAAAGTTCAGGTGAGCTGCAACTAAAGCACAACTGCTGCTACATGGGCTCAGTGTCTAAAGCAATAAGATACAGTAGGCATGAGGACTCCTTGGCAATTTCTAGCCTGCCTGGTGTGGTGGTGGGGTAGATGTGAGGTCAGAGGTCAGTGTAATTATCTTTAATGTGCAGTAGTTGTTCAGAGAATTGTTGTCAGGCTTATGGCCCTTTAGACTGTGAAACAGCTCTGTTTGTGTGATTCCTGTGGGATGGTGGCATTGCTAATGAGGAGCCTGGTAGCTTCAGCAGCAGCAGCACTGGGCTTTAAAGCCATTTCCATATACCCCATTGAGCCCTGCCAAAGGGCATCACAGTCCTTGCTCCTCTGCTTTCTAAATACTCTGTGTTCACAGACCTTTCTGTTGTTTGATTTTTTCCTTTTTTTTTAATTAATAGCCTAATTGTCAAATGTTTGATTCATCTCTGTGTGACTCTTTTGGTAGCAGTAGAATCTCTTTGTTTCAAAATCCATAATTTTGATTGTGCCCCTTAGAGTTTGAAGCTGTGGGGATGCTTACTCAAGTGTGCTCTGTCCTGAAAGCCTTCTTCTCTCCCCTTTGAGAGAGATGCTCATTGTAGTTCTGGTGTGTAAATAGTGTTTGAAATGTAAATAGTAGCATGCAGATTAAATGATTCTTGCACACGACTGCTTTTCACCCTGAAAGTGTTTATTGTGGATAGGAAAGGTGTCCACCGTGAGAGTTTGCTGGTGAGTCCTGTGTGGTGGTCCAGGCTGTCCCTCACACCGGGGGTGCGGCCTGAGCACCTCAGCTGCCTGCGCTTGCATGTCTGCCCAGCGGGCAGGCGGGTGGCAGCACCTCAGAAAGGTGGAGCCCTGGCCACCCTTTCGGGCTCTGGGCAATGGCAGGACCTCCTTTGCCTTTTCCCTTTGCTGCTTGGCATTAGAACAGCATTAGACTGTAAAGTGGAGGGTTGGTGTCAGCACCTCCAGTTATGGGAGGTTGCCATCCCTTTGTGGCGGGACTAAACATGGTGCTATAAGAACTGTCCTGGACGTCAATCTGTGTTTTTACTACTTTAGAGTTACCCTTGGTAAAATTGGTTCTGATTAATATGGTTGGTAACAAGAGAAACTATTGTGTGAGTTTTTGATTCCGTTTCCTTTCTTGCTGTGTGTGCCTTTTGGTGCATTGAAATGGCAGTTCTGCAAATACCTAGGAAGGAAATTAGACTTTAAGAGGTGTCAAGTACTCCTGAAGATTCAAGTTCCTCCCTCCCATTTTTGTTTTCTTTCTGAATCTTTTTCAGATACCTATAATAGGTGATGAAACTGTCTAAAGCAAACAAAACAATACTACCCTGATCCATTAGCTACCAAATTTTGCCACTTGAAGAAATAAAAAAATCAGTCTCCCTTAACATGCAGGATACAAAGAAGTGTTTGTGACTACTAGCGTGCACCAGGCAGCACTGCTAGCTGTCTTTTGTGTTTTGGCAATATAAGTGTGTTAATAAAAAACTCTATGCCTACATGTGTTCATGTTCACGCTGTGTACATAGTAGTGATGGACCTGAATACCACCTTGAGCTCTGGGGAGATTGGGATTTGGGTTTTGTGACTCAGACCCATTTCTGATACGTATATTCCAGATTAGTTCCGGCTGAATCTCTTTTTCTGGTTCATCCTAAGGTGTACAGCAAGGTGTTGATATTTACCCTTTGTGTATCATTCCTTTTTATATGAATGTACTCTCTTGTGTTCCTTTTTTTATCAGTTGTAAAATTGATTGTAAAAGCCAACTACACTTACCGATTGAAAGTATTGCTATAACAGAACTGCATGCCCAGTAGAGTTTGACTTGAGCTTTAGTTTTCTGATTTTGGATTGGTTCCCTTCAGTCTAGGAGAAAAGCATAGATCAGGTGCATAATGTATTACTTGTCATCTTTAGCATTAGACTGTGGTATTGTATCACATGCTGATCTCAATGGATGTAACTGGAGTCTACTTAGGAAGTTAATGCAACTTCCTGGTAATTCATTTTAAGCTATTGAAAGTGGTCTTGGTCATGCTACTTGTGTTCTTGGGTTTTTGTTTTTTAATAGAGGCATTTTTTAGGAATGTTTTAATACACTTATGATGGACAATACAATAGTTTTAATAGTCGTGCAGTATTCTGTATTTACTTGAAGTAAATCATTTTATATGCAATTTGTTAGATAATTACACTTTTATAAATAAAACTGTGTGAAATATGATGTTGTGAATGTGTACTCTTGATGTAGCACTTAATACAATACATTCATGCAAAATCCCTCCAGGAAAAGACCCCCTATCTCCATCCTCCAAAGTAACAGTGGAAATAAATCCCCAAGTCTCTCATCTATGGTGTAGAATACTGTATTCTAATTAAGTCACGAAACACATTATCACACCACAAGTGGCTGCCCTTAAATTAATGATAAGCTAATATGTGAAGAGCACGTCCTCACTTGAAGAGATCCCGTATCTGCTGTCAGCTCTTGTTAAAAGTCTCTGGCTAATGAACATGCCCTGCTTCTTTCCAACAGGTCGTTGGTGTTCCTCAAGCTGCAGTGACTGCTCTCTCCCCAGAATCATTTTGGTGACCCTGAAGTGTTCATAAGTTGCTGCTTTGCAGGAAACAGCACAGAGGGGATTTGTCACAACTTAAACTTTTGAAAGGGAGGTGGGAATTTTATTTGTCTACATGCAACATGTCCTTAAACAGAAGTAGTGAGAGCTGGCTTATTTTTTTTTGTGCAGGTAAAAATGGGTAATGATGTCTTATGCTTCTTTGGACAAAGAAGGAAGCAGCCCTTTTTTTTTTTTTTTTAAAGTATTTCAAAAACTGTAGATTTTGTACACAGACCACCACCATGACCAATTTGAAAGCAGGTCTCTACATCCAGATTGAAGTGGGTGCTCTGGATCCAAGGATCCATATTGTTGGGATTTGTGTCTTACCCAAAGTGAAAATTCTCCTTGTAATAAGGACATTGTGAAATGTAAAAACAGATGGTTTTTTATCTTTTTGGCTGGTGTGATGCTAGGTCTTGCAAACTTCCTAGAGATGCAGACAGGTGTAATACACGAGGCAGGCACTGCCTGCCCTGTGTCGTGTGGCCACAGAGATGCTTTAGCTTGGTTTACAGTGGTAGTAAGACAGAAGAAAAGGCCCCATGTCCAGCATTGCCATCCTAAAAACAGTCTGAGCAGCAGATGTCAAGCTTTGCTGAGATGTAATCTATCTAGTAAACATCTAATTGGAATTATTGTCAGCAGTTTCACTTAAGTTGCCTCCAGTCAAGTGAGTAGTGAAATACATGCGATAGTAACATCCTTAAATCCCATTTCTGGCTTTGAAGGTGCTCAGAGGATAAATGATTTACCAGCTACATAGAAATGACCTGCAGGCTGCAGCATGCCTCAGGACAGTGCAGTGTTTGTGTGGCCAGATACAGTCTCCTCAATTACCTCCTTCTACTGTGACATATACCCATCTTCGTCCTTATGCAGCCTTTCCTTCTTAGACTTAGCACAGATTTTATCTAGGAATGTAAGTCATTTGATGTTCCATCCAGGGAAACCATGTGAAAGTAGGGTATCACCATTGGCCTGTGCTTATGCTTGCTATGACAGTGGTATCCTTGCTTTGATGATCAGAATATGGCTAATGCTTAACCACAGCTACTGTTAGACAACCAGGCAAACGGGAATTTTTTCAGTGTCACAACTTTGTCCGCTACAGCTCGTACGAGCACTTGCAGTTTATGCCAATGTCAAAAGAATGGTCTCTTTCTAGAACCAGGTAGGTCATTGATAACTGGCCTTTCAAATATATTTTGGGATCTGTTTAAATCAGTTTCTGTGCCTGACAAAACTTGGGCTTGTGAGGGCCTATGACCTGTGACTGTAAACATGCTGGTTATGTTCAGCAGCAGTGCAGAGGTTCTGTGTTGTTTGAAGCCTGATGTCACAGGGTCCTGCACTCTGTTCACAGCTCTGCACTCTGTCAGTGGCTTTACTGCACTATTGCTAGCAAATGCCTTTTTGAATATGTGGGTTTGTTTTTTTCTGTTGTTGTTGTACAGCTTGGTGTTAGAGGCTTTTTCTGGATGTTTCTGGCACTGGATTAAATGATTAAATGGATGTGGAATCTCAGCAGTGTGAAAACTCCTGTAGCATCTGCTGCGTTTTTTCAATTACCTGGCACAGGGATCTCATGGGTGCTTGAACTTTGGGTTTGCTGCCTCTGATGATAAAAAAGGAGCCTGAAACTTCCAAGGCTGGCACTTCAGCTCTGGAAGTGCTGAATTCACTTTAAAATGTTATAGATCTTATGACCTTCGTGCATGGTGGGCTTGATCAAGCTAGGTAATGGTATCGCATAGTCCAAAATAACATCTGTTGGCTTGCTGGAAACTCGCAACTGCTCGTTGTTTTGCCAAAGTGGTGTCTGCTGATTTGCTCACAGGCATGTTACAAACCTACAAAGGAGCAGCTGTGAGATACGATGCTCAGACTGGCAGTTTCCATCTCCCTTACCTAGGAGAGGAGAAAAAGGAAGTGTCTTGCATCCTCCATTTCTCACTCGATGGGCTTCTGTTGAGAAACTGCTGCAAGATATGCCCTTAAAATTCCATCTACAAAAAAAACCCCTAGTAAACAAAAAAGCAATCCCAAGCAAGCCCAAGAGCACTTGTACGCACATGGCTTTATAGGATAAGGATTGTATCACGCACTGCTGCTCAAATGCATGATTGTTACACCACACAGTGCCTCTGTGTGAGCACACACAGCAGAAGTGGTTGGAATAGTTTCTTTTGTATCCGCTCAGCTGCAAGGCAGTGAATGCGTCGGGCCAGAGCCAGGAACAAAACCAACTCCTTGCCAGTGCACGGTAGTGCAGTCGCAGCTTCTGCGTGAGATTACAAAAGAGGATAAACCACAGAGTAAAGTGAGAGCACTGAAATTTTTATTTGTTACCTCTAGGTACCACGAGTTTGACATTAATAGGCAAGACCAGTGAATGAGCAGCAGTACATTGCATTCAAACCTGAATCTCCAAAGCACCAAAATTTGAGCTAGATTTACTTCTTAATCCTATAGTCAGCACACTAGTCTGGACTTGCTGCATCTCGTATTGTCCCTAATTTAGTAGTACATTGTTATGCAGTTAAGGGGCATGAGGAAAGAGTCAGTTGTGTAGTACCACTTCTACATCATCATAGGACTACAACATGCACATTCTACTGTGTGGCCCAAGCAACAAGAATACAAGTAGAACAGTTACGGGTGGAGACAGGTTCATGTTAACACCACCTATGAATTTGTAGAAACCTTTTTGGACGGGTACCTACAGCAGTTCATCAATCTGTGTGGGAACGTTACACGCATGCACGAGTGATACAGTGGAAAACAGCAGGAGTGGCAGCAGGACGGAGGACAAAGGAGGAATCTGTGATGGGATGCACTGGAAACAAGACCTTCCTCAGCTTTCTACAGCAAGTCTCTGCTCTGTTAGCGAGGCCTGCTGGGCAACAGTTTTGTTCTCATGGCTGCGGAGTTTTGATATGACTTCTAGAAACGCCATGCTCTGCACTTCCTTTTGAAGAGGCTCTGGAAAAGGAAATATTAAACAGTGCTTTGTATGAGACGGAAAGAAGAACAGAAAACTGTGAGCAACTTTTCTACTGAACCCTGTACACACATAAGCACACAGCTCTGTGTGTACACATAATCTGGTTATTTACTTTTTTGAATTGCTTTTGAGGAATGAGAAAACTCTTCAGGGCCTGGGGCATGCACAAACTCCATGGATTTCAGGTAATTATCAGTGATGAAACTGCTGAATAGCAGTTCAGAACATCCACCTGGACTGCCTTCTAAAACAGAGGCTTTGGAAGTATTTTTACTGAAAACATTTTTTCACTTTATTCCTTAAACCAGCCTGACCAAGTGAGGTCTCAGCCTTGACAGGCTCACTGCATTGTTTGTGTGTACCAGCTCTTACTGGTTGTGTGGGGATTGATGTCTTTAATGGATGTGTCATCACCTGGTCACTGTTTGCTGTCCATTCACAGCTCAGCTCTGAAGTTAATGCAAACACAACGAACGGAGCATTGCCCAGTGCTGCGCATATGGATACACTGCTCATGTTTTACTCAAAACTAAGAGACACTCTGGTAAATCTGATCCTGGATTGCATGGTACTTTAATAAGGAGAGGTTGTGAGCAACTCATAAAATCAAAGCCCCATACTCTAAAAATCTCACAATTTTGATCCAAAGCAGTTGGTTTTGTTTCATGCTCTGTTCAGGCAACTCCAGTGAAATCCCACTCAGCAACAAATGTCTACATGTATTGTGGAAATGTCTACATATTATGGAAAGCTGTCTACAGCTTTCCACATGCTGCTGTGGTCCTGATCTCTGAATTTCCCAGGAGAAAACCCAACCAAACCTGCTTCAGATAGCTACGCTGTAGCTGTGCTATTTACTTCTTTTTTTCTTTTTAAATAGCAGACTTTGCATTTGTTCCCATCCCTACCTTCTTTCTTGTTCACATATTTTTAGTTTTCACACAGTTTAACCCCCACCATGTCAGAGCTGGGAACTCTCATGCTGCTGTGCACCTGGGAACCTGTATGTGATGTCATCAGAGTGATGTCAGTGAAGCTGTTGGGGTGATTATGCCATGTAAGCACTTTCTTCTTTCTCCTGAGATATCAACATGTTTATACAGGCATTTTACTGTGCTTTACAGCGGTTGATAACATCCAGGTTCCCAGAGACTCTCGCACACAGAAGTGACTCTGCTTTTGATGATTCTTCTGTTTTCCATTATCCTCATTTTTCTTTCTCTAACCATTCACTCAGTTGCAAGAGAAACTTCCAGATGGCAAGAATCACATATAAATTGATATCTATTTACTGCTTAACACTGAATGAAGTTCAACAAAGGCAAAAGCAGGGTCCTGCACCTGGGGAAGAATTACCCCCTGCACCATGCTGGGGGCTGACCTGCTGGAAAGCAGCTCTGTGGAGAACGACCTGTGGGTCGTGGGTAACAAGCTGTCCATGAGCCAGCTGTGTGCCCTGGTGGGCAAGAAGGCCAATGATATCCTGGGATGCATTAGGAAGAGCATTACCAGCAGGTCAAGGGACGTGATGCTGCCCCTCTACTCAGCCCTGGTGAGGCCACATCTGGAATGCTGTGCCCAGTTCTGGGCTCCTCA